TTGCCCATTTTCACGGGAATGCTGTGTTCATTCCCTTATCCATTTTAACAAGAATGCAGTTTCTTTCCTGTGCCAATTTTAACAGGAATGCTGTATTTCTTTGCCCATTTTCACGGGAATGCTGTATTTATTCCTGTGTCCATTTTAACAGGAATGCTGTGTTTATTCCTTACCCATTTCATGGGAATGCTGTGTTTATTCCTTTGCCCATTTTAACAGGGATGCTGTGTTCATTCCCATTTTAATGGGAATGCTGTTTCTTTCCCATGCCCATTCTCACAGGATGCCATGTTTGTTCCTTTGCCCATTTTCACGGGAATTCTGTGTTTATTCCCATGCCCATTTTCACGGGAATTTTGTGTTTATTCCTTACCCATTTTAACAGGAATGCTGTGTTTATTCCTTACCTATTTTAACAGGAATGCTGTATTTATTCCTTGCCCATTTCATGGGAATTCTGTGTTTATTCCCTGCCCATTTTAACAGGAATGCTGCGTTTATCCCTCACCCATTTTCACGGGATGCTGTGTGTATTACTTTGCCCATTTTAACAGGAATGCTGTGTTTATTCCTTGCCCATTTTCACGGGAATGCTGTGTTTATTCCTTTGCCCATTTTAAGGGGAATACTGTGTTTATTCTTTGCCCATTTTCATGGGATGCTGTGTTTATTTTTTGCCCATTTTCACGGGAATGCTGTGTTCATTCCCTTATCAATTTTAACAAGAATGCAGTTTCTTTTCCGTGCCCATTTTAACAGGAATGCTGTGTTTATTCCCTTACCCATTTTCACGAGATGCTGTGTTTATTCCCATGCCCATTTTAACAGGAATTCTGTTTATTCCCTTATCCATTTTAATAGGAATGCTGCGTTTATTTTTTGCCCATTTTCACGGGATGCTGTGTTTATCCCTCACCCATTTTAACAGGAATTCTGTGTTTATTCCCTCACCCATTTTCACGGGATGCTGTGTTTATCCCTCACCCATTTTCACGGGGTGCTGTGTTTATTTTTTGCCCATTTTAACATGTTGCTGTCTCTCCGCAGGTCCCTGGTGGTGGTGCATTTCTGGGCTCCCTGGGCCCCTCAGTGCACGCAGATGAACGAGGTGATGGCTGCGCTGGCCCAGGAGCACACCCAGGTCTCCTTTGTCACGGTGAGGGGACAGCGGGGACGGGACAGCCCTCGGGGGAAGGGGAGATCCCAAAAAAGGGCTGAGGTTGATCCTGGAGTGTCCATGTGGCCTCATGTCCCCAGATGTTCTTCTCACATCCCTTATCCCAGAGGTGCTGCTGCCATCCGGGATGGGCTCGGCTGGGCCAGGGAATCCTGGAGTGCTGTGGGTGGGAGGGGACCTGAAAACTCTGCCAGTGGCACCCAAATGGTGCCAACCAACCAGTGCCACTCAGCCAGTGTCACCCAGGCAGTGTCACCTTGCTATTGCCACCCCAGCCAGTGTCACCCACCCAGTGTCACCGAGCCAGTGTCACCTTGCTATTGCCACCCAGACAGTATCACCCAGCCAGTGCCACCTTGCTATTGCAACCCCTGCCAGTGCCACCCAGCCAGTGCCACCCAGCCAGTGTCACCCAGCCAGTGCCATCTTGCTATTGCCACCCCAGCCGGTGCCACCCAGCCCGTGTTACCCTGCCAGTGTCACCCCAGGCAGTGTCACCCCCTGCCAGTGTCCCCCCAGGCAGTGCCATCCGGCATCCACTGGCCACCCAGCCAGTGCCACCCAGCCAGTGTCACCAGCCAGTGCCACCAGCCAGTGCCACCTTGTTATTGCCACCCAGCCAGTGCCACTGTGGGTAGTGTCACCTTGCTGTTGTCACCCAGGCAGTGTCACCCCCAGCCAGTGCCACTCTGGATAGTGCCACCTTGCCATTGCCACCCACTCAGTGCTCCCCAGCCAGTGTCACCCCAGGCAGTGTCACCTTGCCAGTGCCACCCCTGCCAGTGCCACCCACCCAGTGCCACCCAGCCAGTGTCACCCCCAGCCAGTGCCACCAACCAGTGCCACTCTGGGTAATGCCACCTTGCCATTGTCACCCAGGCAGTGTCACCCAGCCAGTGCCACCCCCAGCCAGTGCCACTCTGGGTAGTTCCACCTTGCCATTGTCACCCAGCCAGTGCCACCCAGCAGTGCCACCCCAGCCATGGCAGGCACACTCCGTTGTCCCACTGTTCATCCTTGGCCATGCTCCTGCTGAGGGATCTCAGTATTCCCGAGATTCCCAGAGGATTCCCAGGCACTGGAATGAGCCCTCAGAAGGTGACTCCAGCCCTGCAGCGCTGTCACCCCTCTGTGACACCCTCAGCTCATCCCGGGGACATCCATTGGGAAGGAAAAGGGAATTCCCAATCCACACTGCTGCTCTGAACCCAAACCTCTCCTGGATGGACACTTGTGGCATGGAGAGGGCAGGGGATAAGGGAGCAGCCAGCTGGGTGTGAGTGCTTTAATTTGATTTCTCACACCCTTTAAGTTATGAGTGTTTGTTTTTTTAATGATTCCTCTCTCAGCTGGTATTTGCAAAACAGGAYAGAGCTGTTTTAATGGTATTTTATGACTTTGAGCTCCAAGAGAGTCATTTTCAATGTACTGCTAATGTAAGATGCTTAAATTTATCTGGAGTTTAGTAGCTTTTAGTCAGCCCAGCAAAGTCTGAAATCTCTCAGTGGGCTTTTTATTATTCATATATTATTTATTTATGAYCTTTATTATTCAGCTGTAATTTATTTTTTAATAATGAGGTTCCAAAGTCATCCAGGGMTGTAAAACCAAGATAGTGGCACATCCTTCCCCCATTTCCCTCCTCCCAGTAATTTTAACATTACTGCTGCTCTTGCTTAGAGAAAATAAGCTGCTGAAAGTCTTGGGTGAATTATATTGATATATTTTTGGGGGGAGGAGCTCCTCAGGAGGAATATATTTGATTTTGGCAGTTCTTGGTGAGTTTTTTTATTCCAGAATAGCCAAACTGCCTTTGAATTGGCAAAAACCTGTTACCTCCTCAGATGTTTGGTTGAAATGAGTGTAAAGATTTAAAACCAATGTTTTTGGGAAGTTGTGYCAATAAGCCAGATCCTGAAATATGAAATTAAATGTGTTCTGTGTTATGTGGAACTAAGTATCCAAACAGGAAATTTTACTGGGGAAGCAAATGAGCTGGAAGTCATCATTTGCCCCTGGAAAGTGAATCAATAATAGGAATTATCAACAAGCTCTCAGTTCAATTTAAGCCAAATGTGAGCTTTCATTTGCTAGCTGTGGTTTTTTAGTGATTCTGTTGAGTGGTGGTTTACAGAAGGAGCTTGGGCTCAGGTTTGATGTTCCTGGTTTGCTCCTGTAATTAGTTGGTTCATTAAGGGCAGCTCAGAATCACAGCCAAGGCAGAAAAAATTTCACAGCAAATCCCCACGTGCTGAAACTGGGGGAAATAACCCMGAGTTTGGCATTCAACAGCATTGCAGGAGTTAAAATGCAGTTGAGCAGCCATCAATAACCCCGAGTTTGGCACTCATCAGAATTGCAGGAGTTAAAATCCGGTTCAGGCAGCCACTTGAGCCATCAATAACCTTGAGTTTGGTGCTCAGCAGAATTGCAGGAGTTAAAATCCAGTTCAGCAGCCACCTCAGCCATTAGTAACCCTGAGTTTAGTGCTCAACAGCATTGCAGGAGTTAAAAATCCAGTTCAGCAATTACTTTGACCATCAGTAACCCTGAGTTTGGTGCTCAGCAGCCACCTCAGACATCAATAACCCCGAGTTTTGCTCTCAGCAGCATTGCAGGAGTTAAAATCCAGTTGAGCAGCCACCTGAACCATCAATAACTCTGAGTTTAGTGCTCAGCAGCCTTGGAAGAGTTAAAATCCAGTTCAGCAGCCACCTCAGCCATCAATAACCTGGAGTTTGGCACTCAACAGTATTGCAGGAGTTAAAATATGGTTGAGCAGCTACTTGAGCTATCAATAACCTTGAGTTTGGCACTCAGCAGCCTTGCAGGAGTTAAAAATCCAGTTCAGCAATGACCTCAACCATCAATAACCCTGAGTTTGGTGCTCAGCAGCCACCTCAGCCATCAATAACTCTGAGTTTAGTGCTCAGCAACCTTGCAGGAGTTAAAATCCAGTTGAGCAGCTCATTGCAGGAGTTAAAATCCAGTTCAGCTGCTTCTTGCAGGAGTTAAAATGCAGTTGAGCAGCTCCTTGCAGGAGTTAAAATGCAGTCCATCACTCCTTGCAGGAGTTAAAATGCAGTTGAGCAGCTCCTTGCAGGAGTTAAAATGCAGTCCATTACTCCTTGCAGGAGTTAAAACCCAGTTGAGCCGCTCCTTGCAGGAGTTAAAATGCAGTCCATCACTCCTTGCAGGAGTTAAAATGCAGTTCATCACTCCTTGCAGGAGTTAAAATGCAGTTCAGCAGCACTGCAGGAGTTAAAATGCAGTTGAGCAGCTCCTTGCAGGAATTAAAATGCAGTTGAGCAGCTCCTTGCAGGAGTTAAAATCGAGTCCATCACTCCTTGCAGGAGTTAAAATGCAGTCCATCACTCCTTGAAGGAGTTAAAATGCAGTCCATCACTCCTTGCAGGAGTTAAAATGCAGTTCAGCCACTCCTTGCAGG